GTAAAGCGTGTCCAATACATGGACAGAAAACATCATTTGATAAATATAAGAACTTTAATTGGTCTTAAGTCACTTGTAGGGTGTTTTCTTGGCGGCATTCACGCTCCTTAATAGCGCATTCGAACAAAAATTGGCATTGAACGCGATCTCTGCGCTCTGCAGCTCGAAGAGAAGACCGCTTGCGATGTCCGAGTAGCAGAACATGTGGTATTTCTCAATAAAATACATCGAATCTGTGCACAGCCTTTGGAAGTACACCGCCATCACTTTCTTCCGTATCCAAGCCATGCTCACCTCAAATATGTTGTGGGACCTGACCAGATTGACGTGGATAGATTCGGTGTTCGTGAGCTGACTCGGCACCTCTCTGTTCTTGACTATCACTGCTGACTTTTTCCACAGTCTCTCGATATAAAGCTTTTCTTCGGCTCTGATCTCTTTGATTGTGTTGCTCAGGTGCACCAGCTCCGTTTCGTAGGCATGCTGCACAATTTTCTTCTCAGCAGGTGAAAGCGTTTTGATGTCCTTAAGTGAAAGGAAGGCGATCCTGGCGCTGTTGATCTGCTCGTCCGACAGCTTTGCCGGTGTGTTGTGCAGTGAGTCGCTGTCTGTCATGCTGTGCCTCGTACCGATCGATCCACCAAATTATCATTTATTTTGCCAGTATAGCCTTCATTCATCCCGATATCCTTGAAGAATCGTGTATTACTCGGCATGTTCTCTCCCCTGTTCACATCTGCCAATTCCTTTCTCTTCTCGCCCACACAGACGAGCGTGAAATTGTACTCAAAAATTTTTTGTACCAAATTGACACACAGGTAGAAAAGGTACGAACAAACCGATAGATACAACAGGTGCCTGAGCACCCACAGCCGCCTCACAAACGTTACAACCACAAAAAGCGTCAGCACATTCGTAATGACACACAGTCTCACGCTCTTCCCCGAGATGCTGTTTCGGTGCCTGAGAACGTGCGGCACAATGCCGTTGATATCAACGAGCGCGTACGTACCGGGCAGCAAGCACATGTCCAGGACATTCAAGCACGAGCAGATGAACACGTGTATGCCGTCGATTGCAAGAAACGCGATGCTCCTTTGTGTTGAGACACACTGAACGAACAGCCCGGCGCACAACGAAGAAACCGCAAAAACGGTCGTCAGCGGAACAGAGAAGATCTTCCATGCATGCACCGCCAGACCGAACAGAACTATTGCAATCGTTGCCACAGCCAGGTTCAGTGTTCGGGTGAGTGACAAAATGCCGCCACCAAACGGCACAAATGACAAATCTCCTATTCTGTTCACAAAAATGGCAATGATAATGCACGGCACGATCGACAGCACCAACGACTTGGCGAAGATGCGATTTTTTCTCATCGGGGTGCGGTTTTCACGCGCACAAAACGTGCAGCAGAGAAGAGGCAGAACGAGTCATGGTGTGTACGAGAAGAGACATTGTATGAAGCAGCGGTCAACAAATCAGCCTTCTCTGAGATATGGCCGGCAGCAACCTGCAGAAAGTTACTCATGGAGAGCGTGGCGCAGCACATCAAGCTGAGTTGGACTAAATTACTTGCTGCCTCAGCCGTTCCTCGTATCGCAACAAACGGCTCGGATGAACGAGCATGGCTATCATCCGTACCAGATGACAGTGCGGATCTGCAGAGAGCAACACGATACGTGCGGGCAGTGCATGGATTGCTGGACTTTTCGTTTATCGCTGTGGTAGCCGTGCATGCGCTCTGCCACCGGTTCTTCCGGCACGCTATTCCTCGTCTCGCTAACCTGCAAACACGCATGTGATGCGGTAGGAACAGGGAAAGAGCGCTGGTCTGAATGCCAACATCGTTCTGCCGTGATTTTACCGTTCCTATGTTTGCGCAGCCTCGCCCGCAACTACTCGCCATACAACAGCCGTGTGCAACCGGTACAAGGGTTCTTCGATCACCCGTGGCAGAGATGCAAGTACTGGCGGGCACCGCGTCTTCACACCCTGCAGTTTTTGTGAGATTCGTAATGAAAAGAGATGCTCCGTCTTTTTCGTGCCGTGGTTCACGATTTAATGGTTTTGATGACGCACGTACTCGCCGTATTGTTGTTCAAAATGGAAGTTGAAGCATCATTGGTATGCCGTAATTGCCAAATCAGGAACAAACAACGTACGGATGATGATCGGGCGAGAGAAACGACGAATGGACGCGCTGTTTGCGAAAACATGGTCAACTGAAAAACGCACGCTTGTAAAACTGCGGATGCGTGCGCCTGCACAATTAAATGTGGTGGATGGTTGCGACCTTCTTTCCACAAAAACGAGAACGTATTTCATCACGGTGACGGTCAGTACGTGCCGAGCAAGGGCCGTTTCGCAGAACTTGTTCGCAATTGCACCGCATCGGTGTTGCAGCATCGTAAACCGCTTTCCTGATATGGACGTGCAAAGTCAACCCCATTTACATGAAAGAGAACAACGCAGAGAAGGAAATAGCGCAATGTAACGAGGAGCAGGAATTTACCAGCAAAATGGCCGAGCTGTACAAGAAGGAGGAGGACAAAAAGTACTTGGATCTGACCGACCAGGTACGGCTACTCATCCCGCTCAAGTACTCGAGCATTTTTCCAGGCAAAAACGTGGTGGAGCAAATGTTTGCGGTCACCCGTCTTCCGCACGTGCACAGCGTGGTGGGTCTTCCTGATATACACCTGGGGTATGCGTTTCCTATCGGATCAGTGGTGGGCGCGAGCATCGTGGTACCGGAGGGCGTTGGAAACGATATAAACTGCGGTGTGAGAATGGTGAGGACGAGGAGCAACTACAGGGATGTGGACATGGCAGAGGTTGCCCGCCAGCTGTTCGACGCGATTCCGAGCGGAATAGGGGGAGACACGGTGAACACGATTATTGATGAGATTGTGAACGCGCTCAACAAAGGTGTTGCAGACACACAGAACAGGAGAGCTGCGTTCACCGATATGAAGCTGATAAACGAGGTCTGCAACGAGGGAGTCGATTTCCTGGTCAAACACGGGATTGTCAGCGACGAGCGGGACAGGATTGAAAGGGGCGGGCGGTTTCCAAGCGATTCGCGGATGCTGTCGCAGAAGGCGAAGGCTAAGGGGCTCAAGCAGCTCGGCTCACTGGGCGCAGGAAACCACTTCCTGGAGATACAGAGGGTCGCGGAGGTGTACGACAACGATGCAGACTTTGCGGTCGACGAGCTTGTGTTCATGATACACACGGGAAGCAGGGGTCTTGGCTTTGAGGTGTGTGAGAGCGCAACACAGGTGGCAGCGAGCACACGCTGCATCACCGAGAGCGAGATCGGGAACGAAAGCCACGACATCCAGGCGGTCAGAAAATCGATTGGGCTGTGCAGCGCAAGCATTTCGGCATCGGGATCATCCGAGAATCTCTCGTATTTTGAGGCACACGAGTCCGAGGACTATTTGCTGGAAATGGGGTGCGCCGCAAACTACGCGTTCTGCAACAGAGCGATTATATCCAAGAAGGTTGAGGAGGTGCTGGGGCAGTGGAACGTGAAGTGCGAGCTGGTATACGATGTCGGCCACAACTCGCTGATCAGGGAGAACATCGATGGAAGGGAGTGTTTTGTGCACCGGAAAGGCGCAGCAAGAGCACTACCGCCAAACCATCCCGAACTGCGGTGCAACAGGGAGAAGGGCCAGCCGATACCGATCGGCGGGTCGATGGGTACATCGTCGTATCTGCTGTACGCACAGGACACGGCAAAGTCGTTGTTCAGTTCGCCACACGGAGCAGGTCGCAAGATAAGCAGGCACAAGGCGCGCAAGCTTATCACGATGGAACAGCTGAGGCAGGTGATGGGCGACATAATATTGATGAGCAAGAGCGAGAAGGGAGCGATCGAGGAGGCACCGATGGTTTACAAGGACATCGACGATGTTGTGGATGCAGCGGTTGAGCTAGGACTTGTTAAAAAGGCGGTTAAGCTCGAGCCCCTTGCAGTAATCAAAGGATGAGCCGCGCATCGAACATCTCTGTGCTATGAACTGAGTGCACGGCAGTGCGCGAAGCTGTGCTCACTGGTGTTTGAGGAAAGTTACTGGAAGGAACAGGGTGGACATGCTCTTTGAAAAGGAAATAGTCTTGTGCGGTGAATGGTGATGCACTGTTGATCACCACGGGCAGTCAGGGCTTTGTTCTATCCGGGATACTGCATGGCGAGTTCACACAATGGGATAAAATTACCAAGCCCGGTGTGATGAACATTTCTGATGTTGCCCGAAGTACGCCCAGTTGCTACGGTGACCGGTGCAGGACTTGTTCGATTCCTGACTGTTTGGTGATGGTGTTTTGCTGAGATACCAATAAATGATTTATTTCTTTTCTTGCGATTTACGGAGCGGTTTGTGGTCACGTTCATTGCTCGTCCATTTCCGGGTTTTCTTCGTGATTGTCCAACTAATTCTGTCATCGCTGAGTAGTTCGTTCCTGTCGACACCGCTATTTATTTATGGCAATTGCCATGTTCGCGCTCATTGCATGCAGACATCTGAATGGCACCGGTGCCTGCGCTGTGACACGTTGCAATTTGCGAGGCATGAAACAGACGAAGGACGCATCTGCACAAATTCATTACTGAACATTCTTTGCCCAACTGTGTTTTTGTTCAGATATCCGGTGAAATGCTCGTATACCTTTCTTTTCTCGGTCATTTGGATTTATTGCCATCTATGAGTCCGTAGGAGATGCTAATGCACGGAAATTTTTACCAGCGAGATGTGATATGCAGGACAACGATTAGTAGGTGTGATCTATTCCATCAAAGCTATACAATCGTGTGTGCTGCTTGGAAATGGGGAGCAAAGACGACGCGTTCGTTGACATGGTTAAGGTGCAATGTACATGAATTGCCTGCACACGCTCGTAGCCTTCCTCTACATCTCGCATTCAACGTCTTCTGTACTCGAAATGCCTGCTCTATGATCACTTGTCAGCTGTTCGTCTTCTTATTAACCTTTTTCGTATTTTTAAATTCATATCCGTGATCCGGATGCCGATAAAACATCAAAAACGATTGAACACCGTACACCAGCAACAAATGGCAAATACTTTTGCGTCCAAGCGCATACGAAATTTGAGCTTCCTGGTGAACCTACGTGGTGGTCGTGGACCAGGGAAAAAAGACAAAACAGCGCTTCTCAGAACGCAGACCTGTGCTGCACCGAAGTACATCCTTTTTGTCTGTATTGAGTGATGATAGCTAGCGCTGCCGATGCCTGTTACACCGGAAACAGTGATCATTAGCAAAACTGGTATTTAATTATAATCTTTACAAAAATAGATAATTTTTAATTAAGAATCGTTCAATTCACCTCAAATAATAAATTTAGCAAAAAAGTACAAATCAGCATACCGGTATTTAGCAGATAACAAAACACATTAAACACAAAGACAAACAAGAACGGATATAGAATGAAAACTACGATCATCTAAGCACTTTGTCCAACACACATCCGTTATACTGTAAATATTTTAACTAACAGTGTAAATGCGCACTCAAATAGTATTTTCGGTTGCCCAGTGAATATACTGATGAGAGAGACGAAAATGCACAAATGAACTAAATAGTAGTTGTTGCGATTGCTCTGCGGCGTAGCATTTCCATCGTACGTATTGCACCTCTGATCCTTTCTGTTTTAGCTTATTTACAGCGATTACGACCATTAAAGTAAGTAAAACATTGTTCAACCAGTTTCTCGATCGCAGTCTTTTTGAAAAGGACTAATTGGCAAGCAATTTACTATTTTAGCAGATGAAAGTATTTAAACGAGCATACTTGTGATAGAATGTACATTTTTATTGCTCTACTACATCTCGCGAACACGACGGCGGTATCATACAACTCAACACATCGGAACTATCTGGCACAAACCAAAGGATGTGTTGGCAAGGACAGTGCAAACCCGTTGCAAAATTCGCTGCCCAATCTCTCGTTTGCAAGCATGCCAGCACGGAATGGCGCGGAACACGCAGTAGAGGATGGTTCAGAAACAGCACGCACAAAGGCATGGCTGATTCCTGGACAGGAAAACATGAAAAATATGTTCTGTGGCAGCAGTTCAAGCTCAGCATCACCTATCGTTGGAAGTTACCACGAGCCATTGCCAAACTGGTTTAACAAGCACTGTCATCATGGCTCATGTGGGTTTGAGCGGGAAAAACAATCATCCACCGAATCGCTATACAGTTCACCAAAAAATGGAAGTTATGTTTCTCCATCATCTACGCCCGAACCCTACCATCCTATTATCTTTGAGATGGACATGTTTGAGTCTTGCTCATCCAACAGTTGAGAATTTGAATGTCCATTAAACTGCCGCTTTCAAATTCATGTATTATTTGTGTCAATATCCATTGCTCCACTCGATATTCGCTCGTGTTTTTGGGCAGAGCTATCTTTCCTAAGAAACAAGTAAATTTCGTGGTGTCTAGCTGGCATGTTATTCATCTACAACGATCACCTAAAATCAATGCAGAAAATGCTGAGATAACTCATCAAAGCAGGCATTAAGAGATCCAAAATCGAAACAAAGCATAATTTGCTGAACAATAAACACGGTACCGTGCAGAACGTTGCCGTACAATCTAAAATAAATCAATGCATTGTAATGTCCTTCCCACATCTTCTAAGCGCCCTAAAAACAGACATCGTTCATTTTAAGAAGAAAGATCATGTGTATCAACTTGTGCTCGCTTGCTCTTCATCCTGTATTTAATACGACGGCGCTCTGTTTGCAACCAAAGATTCGACGCAGCTACCACGATTTCATTTCTTCACTGTCGACGAAGTTACAACAAGTCGTATTCAGTCCGCTGTCTAAGCGGTTGTTCTGGGCGCACAGACCAGAACAACACGATTTTATTCCTTGTTTGAGCCGATACAAGCACATTTTGATCCGCCAGATACCCCGAGCCGATCTGCGTTTGAATCAAGGATGAGCACGAAACGTTGTTGGAGCCATTATATCTCCTCAATACCAAGTTAGCTGATAAAATTGAGGGGCTACTAGGCACGAATCCATCCGCTGCGCTAGCCGACAGAGGCGGAAAGAGCAATAGTCACGGCAGATAAGCTATTGCATCGTATCTTCGAATGCGCTATCGAAATTGCTAGTAATTGATTATCGCTGTACGCGCTCATCAATTGCTAGCACTAGAAATTCTGGCTATTACCGTTGCACACATCGAACACACCAATAAAGATATTGATCATAGTTCAAACAGACAATGGCGAGAAAGTGCTCACAACTAAGCTTACTAGATACATAAAATATTCTATGAGTGGCTACCACATCAAAAGCTCGGTGCCAGCGGGCCAGAGATGTGTTTGTAGGATGATGTTATTGTATGGGGCAGTAAATAAACGTGCTTTTTGTGAAAAAAGTGTCAAATATGATCACATCAACAGGTTTGATGGAAGAATCTAATTATCATGTTGCAGAAGATCAATGATATCTACAAGCTCACCAGGTGTTATCTGTTGAAGACAACCTAATGAAGATTGCGTAGATAGTGCTCGGACCGAAAGCAGATCAAGTACAGATACTTGCTACAACCGTGGTAACATATTTATGTACAGATATTTGAACAGTTCAGCTTTTTGATTCACAAATTCAGGCCGTACAATTTTGCAATATTGGTCTTTGTTAAGCTTTTTCTATTTCATGTATATTTGAACAAATTATTAATGTGTAATAACAATCTGTTCTGTTGCTGCAATGGAATTGTTACTTTATTGAAATTAACGCGACTTGTGGTAATCAATTTACTCCAGATGGGTTTGCTACCAATTCATTAGACGGCAGGTGGCAATCCATTCTGTATGAATGTGTTGTACGTGGAACGACTTATTACAAAAACTCAGCTGTTCAAAAGTTGCATATATAGACCTATTATCATCCATAGTTTAAGTATAATGTTTGTTCGAAAATACAACCAAACCAAACATAGGACTTATAAACTTGGTTATACATGACAGGTTCCGCTTTCGCATATATAATCGCTATAAGTCATACCACTATCACAGATAATCAATTTAGGGAACTAAACATACCATGCTTGCAATATGTGCTGCAATTAAGATGTTGTAATGATCCTATATATCCCTTAAAATAGTGGATTATTATGGATTCTCGTTGATAAGATGGTTGTCATATGGCATGTTACTATGTGTGTCCGGGTGAACGTAACTTCGGAGGTAATGCAAGATGGTATTATTGTTCGAGTGGTCTAACCTGAACTTGTACGCTTTGATTGTAATTATGCCCTTGAATCATTGTATGGGCTTCTTACTCAGGATTAATTATGCAGGATCGAATGTTTTCTTCTATTTGTTCTATTACCTTATGGAAGATTAGAGGGACATTGCTGTACAATTGTTTGCGCTGTTCCATCGGAAGATAACACAGATGCATCATAATCCGAATGCTCTCGTCCAAAGCTGTGGTTGTTTGCCATGAACTTAGGGAGGAAAAGTTCGATATAGGTGGAAAATTCGGCTGAATGAATTTGGTGCAAAAAATATGAACATACACATTCGATGACATTCTCTATTACTTAAAGAAGATACTTTATTTATTTTGACGTGCAGAAATAGTAATTTTAACATTCATATCATGAAATATCAAAATTAGACAAAATGTATAAAGCAGTCAATCTAGCAATAAAATCATTAGTGGCATAAAAATGCTTCACACATCTTCATTCATCAACGAGTACAAACATGAATAGTTCTTGACCAGCACCAAATTGCTAACATCCTTCAATCGCTTAACCCGCAGGTTAACAGGTTTACCAATAAAATACACTTTTCTGGCCTTCTCACAACAATTTACTATTAAATCTGTGCTCAACCAATCCACACCCTGGCATCGTGAAAAATCTAATATCAAAATATCTGTGTATCCTGGTACGACAAATCGTTTAACGGTCCAAAAACACAGTACATAGTCCACCACAATTATCTTAATGTTGTCCGATTCTACCACATTCAATGCATCATAATGTGCAATCTTTCTTCGGCTTGCAATAATGTAATATGCTACACAAATTGCCATTCCAATCAGCACACCAAGGATGTACTGATCTGTGAACCAGCAAATAAGACACACAACAACAGAAATAGTGTATTCATATATGGACGCCGTGAAAATCGGCTCGTAGAAGGAGCTGTATATGAACCCGGCTCCCATAACAAATGGTAACATGCTCAAAATGAAATTTGGAATGTATCCCTTGATCATAAGACCAAATACTGCAACCGATATCATTGCAAGTGCCGAAATGTATCCGTATATCTTCATTGTTCCTCCGGCCTTGTGGAAAGCGATTGAATAGCAGGTCACAAAGTAACACGGAATGAATGTGAGCAAATTGGAGAAACCCTGTGTTCCCAACTCGTCTGAAAAATCAAAGTTCACACCCGTGGCCATTTTGTATGCTGGTAAATTAACCGCTATGTGCACGGAATTAAAAAATATTACTGTCAGAATGTTTGAGAAGTTGTACAACAGTGCCCGCCAGCTCAACGTAGACAGTTCTATTCGGCTTAAAACATAGTTTGGATACAAAATCCTGTTCTCCTTTACCGGCAACCAATTATTATCGCGCAAATATTGCATCTTATCACCACCACGCACGAAAATGAAAGTAACACCATAAAACAACGTAATGATGACCACGGTGTACAATGGTATGAGAAAGTCAGCGCCTGACAGCTTAAATTGCAAGAAAAACAGAACAACCGCAACAACTATGGCAATGGTGCACAACAACCAGTATTTGTTTTCGTAGCCCTCGGGAACTAAAGCTGACCATCCAACGGGAAACTGAGAGAGACCAATAGCGCCAAGACAGCCATTTATAACCGCCTTAGGAATCAAGGATATTAAGTGCCCTGCCCTTGCATATTTTAACAACAGGCTTACCAGTCCAAATCCAACGGAAGAAATCACCAATATCATAAGGAAATTGGTTATATATCCATTCAAATCAGTGGTGTGCTCACATACCACCTTTCCGATGTTATCCTTCATGAACGAAAGGCTTTCTGCGATGACACTGCTAATGATAGCTGCATCGATTTTGCTGAAGTAATTGAAGAGCAGCTGCGACCATATGGTGGAATAGATGTAACATAACATGCCAATGTTCTGCACAATAACGTTCTTTTCTGGATCATCATTCTTAAACATAGCTCTGCCGTACGAAAGCATATCCATCAGCTGAAAAATGATTGCCATGAGCGAAGTAGAAATTAATGCTGAAATGCTAAATGTTCGCTTCGGATTCATTAATTGTATAGAAGGGGTAAAAATGCACCAATTTATTTTTGACTGTGCTGATAAATTTGACCATGAAGCACGGCGTGAACGAAATTAATTAAAGCCGTGAGGTGATAATTAAGCAGATTTTTAAAAATAGCTTGAAATATATTTTTCTTCAAAATAGTATTTCCCGCCACGTCATTGCAAGTAATTTACGAAATTATGGCTAATTGAAAACATGTACGCTGAATTAAAGAGTTTAAAAAGAACACGGCAATATTGTGTTTGTTCGAAGAACACGTTATTTCTGAACCAAAGGACTGTTAATCTACATTTTGATCAACCCAAATATATAATTTTATAAAGTTTGCCTATTTTTGCACGTAGTAGTTGATACAAGCTTAATAGTCAAGAAATGTGCAAATTTTATCTTTATACTAATTCGTTCCAAAAACACGTTTTTGACCGGTAGGTAATTCGTGCAAAAAACCTCGCAAAATGCTACGTGCCAAACACCAAATTTTGATAATAAAGGACGAAATTGGAAACTACCATATTTTATTTACATACCGTAATAATGTATCCTTGCCATAACTTAAGTTCTAATTCGTTTTATTCGAATACGTTCGTTGATAACACTCCGAAAATAGTATTTTGGTTCGCCTCATCTGTCATGGTTGATACAGGTAATGTATTTTGAAAATAAAAGTATTTTAAATAAACTTGATTGGAAAGAACGTGTTTGAACTGCGAGCATATTTTGCATTTGGTTGATGCGAGATCATCCATCTTTGCATTTTTATTACATCAATTTGTAAAACATGCAATCAGTGTCTAAATCTGTAATTTCGCTCAAAATTTACAAATTTCACAGATAAGCAAAATAATTAATTTAAAGGTACGTGATTTGCTTCTATAAACTCCCATCATTTATTGTTCAACATAATCGGTCTCACATGAGCTATGTAAAAACGCTCGCAGTACGTACACAAAACACCAAATGGTTACAGATAACTAAAATTGTTATTGAGGAATGATATTTCGCTTGATATTTGGATGAGAAAGACGACTATTTTAGTAGCAGTAATAAATATACTTACTAATTCGGCTACATCTAACAATTATGTTGATACTGTACTAGGCTGGCCATTGAGTTGTAGTTAGCCAAATTTGATTATCTAATGTTCATCTCGTTCTTAGCATCAAGAGCAACCGCAAATCTTATATTACGTTGTAACTCCATTATAAATATACGATTAAAGCATTCTTAGTTGTTATTATCACGTTCTTTGTCGTCATCTGAACTAATCACTACCTAAATAAGCCGATGTAGAAAACCTTTCTTCATATTTAAACACAATCATACACAATATTTGTTGTTTTAATGGATCAAGTATTTTATGGTCGTGCTTAAATACGGTCATTGGTACGATAAAAACTATAAAACACGGTAATTTCGATGAAAAATAGCATGAAATTCCAGATTTATAGCGTATCCATTAATAAAGCGAAATACCTGTTAATATTCTTCTATTATATTGTATAATTCAGTGTATTTATCGGTCTGCTGTTGTAATAACCCTTTACCACAAAAAACTTGATCATGACCCAAATCTACGCAGGTTACCGAAACAGGATCCGCCACATTAACAAAAAATCAATGAAATTCACATAACATCGAGATTATATCGGTTGTCCGATGCAATTACAAGTCTTGTAGAATTCCTGAAAGACTAAAATGGTGAGAAATGATGGTCCAGTCGTTAAAAATAATTGTACAAAAGCGTTGTTGACAATTACCCTTTGGATGCTGATCTTTTTTAGCAAGAATGTTGCGACAGTATTATTTTTCCTCTGCAGATCCTTTTTTAGTAACATTTCTTCATAACTTAAGCATTTCAAAAATACATCGCCAACGCTGCTTCTGATGCAAAAAATGGCTCCATTACAACACTTCCAAATATAAACGGCCGAACCAGTGATATAATAGCCGATTCAATCAGGACGTTAATGAAAGAATCATAGGTTTTGCGATATATGATAGTATATCTTAACAACAGGTGCATTGTACATTCTGGAAAAAGGGTCGAGAAAGGAGATAGAACAACGATAAATTACGTAAATGCATATGTGAGCTTTACAAAGAGATTGCTACGAATGATCACGCTATAGATGAATTTAATTTGGTACTACCCATGTTATTCATTTCAGTTGTAAGCGGAAAGGGCGGAGTTGGGAAATCAACTATTGCTGCGCTTATTGCAGCCAAATTATCGAAGAAGGCACCAACCCTGCTGTTCGATTTAGATATATGTGGTCCATCGATAGGAAGTATTTTCCCAACAACCGGCAAGATTATCAAAACTCAGAATGGTTTAAAACCTTTAAGAGTTGATAACAGCTTTTTATATACTCTGTCTATGTCCTCTCTGATTAAAAAAGACAGCTCTGTAATATGGCGAGCTCCACGCAAATTGCAATTGTACGAGATGTTCTACAACAGCGCCTACGAAAAAATGACTACCGATACAAATAATGTTTGTTTCAGACCAGGAGATGCTTCGAAGAACCACGGATATATAGATAGTGGTGTAGGGCAGAATTCTGATGTTTCCAATGAAAACGAACAATTTTATTATGAATACGTGGTAATTGATACACCTCCAGGTATTACAACGGTGCACTCCTTTCTCAAAGAAAAGAAAACAAAGGTATTGCTCGTTACAACAAGCCAAAATGTGGCTATCTCAGATTCGATCAACACAATTACTTTTTTCAGTGGTGTAGACGGTGTAGTAGAAAATATGAGTGGCTTGAAGTGCCCAAGCTGTGAACGGATTACCAACATATATTCAAGAAATGGAGGACAGCATCTTGCCAAAGAGTTCAACATTCCCTTCTACGGAACACTTGAGATTGATAAAGACATGTCGAAATATATTGAAAATGGTACACTGTACGAGAATATTGAATCTTTGGCCTGTAGTGATGTTATGAATACGATTATCGAGAAAGTGATCAATTTGTGAGTGGGTAACACTACGTCTTCGTTGCAATGTATCCATTACCACTGATAACTTCGAATTTTTGTTGAAATCGGTATTTTCCTTGGTTTTTTATCTAATTCTTTAGAAGATGCATTGCCTGATGAACATGTATTGAACCGTCTTGCTAGCTCATATCCTATTATTTTGCATGAAAAATATCGCTCAATAAATTACCAGTCTACATCTCAATAGAATACGTAGGCAATAAACTATCTGTTCGGCAGTCATAGAAAATATCGTGTTATTAGTATAAAATTTGTTAAATGTTGAGATTCGATTCAGAGCATAATATGTATTGTTAAATGTAGTATGAGACAGTAACGGAAAATAGCGTTGTAAATTGTGTTATTTGGAGTACAGAACCGGTTACTAATTGTGTCACATGTACTATTCTCTGTCCACAATCCTGTGCCTAAGAGTGGCCTCATCTACAATTTAACAGTATGACAGCACTCTGCAGTCAATGTACACCTCAATATCCTAACAAAACCAAAAATAGAAATTTTAATAATTCATATCAATTGCTTCAATTCATCTGCATCGGATACAACTTTACAAATCTTATCGAATCGCTGTTTGTTGAAATTAAGTGGAACTCCAACGATCACTGCGGTTTTATTTGGCTTATTGATAGCGTCATAGAGTAAGTCGGAACCGATCCAGTCTACAGCTGGGCATTCTAAGAGGTCAACAATAATTTTTTCGCTCGAGAAATCGTGCTTTTTAAACTTGTTCATGGTCATGAAACAGAACACGTAATCTATTTTTATGTAGGTATAACCCACTAAACATTCGAGATGGGCAGTGATCTGCTCGTCATTTTTCATAGGGCGTTGTTTCATCATAAAATAGAACACCAAGTGTATCAAAATGCCAGCAACAACACCAAGAAAATAATCTTCTGTTAAATATGAAATCAAACTAATCACAAGAACAACAAGCTGCTCAAATATTCTTGCTTCAGAAACAACGTTTATCAACGTATCGTAGATCATAGTAAATCCTATTAGCAGAGGAGGCATGCATAGTAGGAATTTTGGAACGTATCCCCGAATAGTACAACCAAACAATGCAACAAATATCAGAAATATTCCACTTATAACACCGTAAATTCTTTTTGTGCCACCACACTTGTAAAATGGACTGGAATAGCACGATATAAAATAGCAGGGGATTAGCGTGAATAAATTGGTGTAACCCTGTGTTCCTAGCTCTTTCGAATAATCAAAGTCAATATTCAAATCCATCTTGTAGCTTGGCAGATTATAAGTAACGTGTAATAGCGAAAAAAAAACACAGACTAGAATAGTTCTCATGTTCTTCAACAAAAATCTAAAATTGAGCGTTTTCACCTCAATCATATCAAACAACATGGAAGGATTGATAATCCTATCATTTCTCTCGTGCAACCAGCCGCGTAGCATCAGCTCATAAATTAGATTATTTCGGAATCGGAATGCAAAAAAGGCGTAAAATAATCCCAGACACACCGCCATGCTCAATGGCATTATGTAAACCACGTTTGTATATCGTTTTTGAAGAATAAATATAGTAATGAATATGACAAACGCGACGATGTACATCGATAAATTACTCGAATCATAACCATTTGGCATAAGTTCCTGCAAACCCACAGGAATCTGTATTAGTCCTATGGTTGCAAATATTCCGTAAACGACGGCCTTGGGAATGTGCGAAATCAGCCGACCCAGCTTAAGTTTCATCATGATAATACTGCTCAGTGCAAACAGCAAACCAGTGACTAAGAACAAAAAAAAACTGTTAGTGACCAAAGCCTCTTCATTTTCAACGTTTTTTTGGACTACTTCGCTCATTTTAAAGAAGAAACGAAAATTCTCTACAATTGCACTGCTCACAATTCCAGCGTCAATAGTGGTAAACACATTGTAAAAAATCACTGAGCTTATGGTTGGGTATATGTAAAGTATCATACATACTGCATCTATATCTTTGCTTGAGTTGTAGTTTACCATGATAGCGCTACTATATGACAGCATATCCATCAACTCGAATATGCAAACCAGCATCACACATGATAGCATATTTCTTATCTTAAATTTTTCGGGCTTTGTAATTGTCCCCTCCCCCATCTGAATCAGGGTGTTGGTTATCGGACTTCTTATATCGAAGTATCAGCGAATACAAAACGTTAGACATTTGTTTTAATAACGATAACGATTGGTAATGTCATGCCTGCAGTACGATATCTCATATTTGGTACATCATCGCGGTGAAACCTCCTTTTTGTTCCACTTTTGATGTGATTGATCTGTTTTCATGACAACTAATCTTGTAATTGATGAGCGTAACATTGTTAACTAGCTGTACCTATATTATTTGACTGTGCTGCGATGCTAATAACAGCGATATAAATGAGGTGTGCGCATGCTGACCCGATCTCATTTTACGAGTTGCCTTTATATCAAGCTTGTATAGATAAACAATAGGGTTGAGGTTATTACTCTCAAGACATTGTAAAGCAGATATGCGTGTGACAGAAGCAGCAAAGTACCAGTTTATACACGGGCATCACGTAGTGATACTGATTAGTTTCACGTTCAAGAATCATGTAAAAAATTGAGGTATGATTTATCTAGAGCACTATAGCAATAAGAATGTTTGTATTTTGTTAAGAGCATGCCTTTACTTAATGATTAATTGTACTTGTATCGAGTAATATACAGATCCGGTAGATGAATAAATGTCATTTGATGACTGTTAAACGGTCAACAAGATAGGTTTACCCATTTAAAGTTATAATAACTGCTTTAATAATTAAATACACATTTGTTTGTAGCATATAATAACTGTAATATAGCAACATCTTCATGAAGACCGAAATGGCAAGAGAATAGGTAATATGCGTCCAAGTTATGGACTTACCTTCGTAAAAAGAAAAACAAGTGTAGTTGCCAACAAGAAAATTGGAAATTTATACTTCATATTATTACTCTACAATAAAGCATCCTGATCTACGACCAGAGTGAGGGTACCACCTACAGTCTTGGACAATGACAAAGTGCTGTTTTTAATTAATGCATAGTTCCAAATTATTAAATTATTTTTAGCCCATTCATGTTTTCTTGCTTGTATTTCGTTATTCTCATATCCGGAACGTTACTGAGCTATTTTTTAGTACCATCACTGGTGATTCACGGTCATACCAATTCCTTGTTGTCCAAAAACTTATTTTTTGTTTTTTATCTTACCGGTTTGGTTTATTTAATTGCCAACAAGAAATGTTCCCTTTATATGCTGCACTTGTTCAGGCGATTAATAGAATGTTATTTCTTCAGATACAAAAGATCACGAATGAATATACTCCAGTTTCTGCTCGGCATATCATATTATATTATAATGGCAGACCATATTATGCATTATGATCTCAGATTCACCATGGTGTTTTTTTTGCTAAACATTGGACAGAGTATCAGTCATTACTTCGCTTTTAAGCAAATATCAACATTTATTCATTACTATGTAGAATTCTTGATACATTTCTACCTTTTTCTCAGGATCAAGTCTCTTACCTTGTTTTTAAATTTAATATGGCTAGCTTTGTTTATAGGCATAACTATTAAAACACGAGCTCCATTGCACGCATATAAATATAAGAAAAGCGATTAAATAAGGTTGTCTGCCAGTATTACCCAATTATTTACTCCTGATCACATTGCATCAGTAAACTTGAAAATTCTGTCGAAGAATATCTTTTTTATGTCAACACTAAATTAAACTCTGTTTTACGAGGAGAGCATCCATATTCTTAGAGTAGCTGCGAAATCTTTCTCGGAATATTGCTAATGAGAGGTATTTTAAACCAATAAACGCTTTATTAATTAATCGCACCATTGTTTATTGACAAACTCATCTTTCATACCCTATGAAGACGATAATTACGTTTAAAACTAAAATCGTGTTAATGAAGTTCTAACAATACACAGAAATAAGGTTTATGAACACCATCATGGAGTAAAATCAGATTGGACGTGGTATTATGATTTAAAAGTCGGTAACTTCTGTAATGGAGAAAAACCATAACAGTTATATTTGAAAATACGACAAATAAATATGTATTTAACATTAGTATAGCTCTGTGCAATAGTTGTATAACCATT